ACATTGCTAATTGAGGCTCATCATTCTTCAGGTAGCAGTTTCCCCTTACTGATGATTACCTGTCCTAGCCTGGAGCATGAGGTTGATCCTTACAACAGCAAAAAGTTTCCCAGCACACTCACCAGCCAGCATGCAAAAACAAAACTTGTCTCACCGCTAAGGTTAAAAACAGAGGTTTAGATACACGTCTTCTGCAGAAAATGTGAAAGCCGCACTATTTTACTGTATAAAGCCCTTCCATGTGCACCTTGCTGTAAAGCTGGTGACAAATTGATGAGTTTGTTTTGCTTGACTGATTTGGTGCAGTGACGCACGGGGGGTCTCAGCTGCCGTTGTGATGTGCAGGGTCCCTTGTGCGTCCATGTGCCTTTTTTAAGGGAGGTTGGCCTTCCTCCTGACAAACCTGACACCCAATTTTTATCTTTTGCTACATGTGCTCCAAGATGGAGACTCTAATAGTTTCGAGTTAGGACCGCACTATATAGAGGTGCCTTGGCGAGGCGGTGCGCATTTCACATTTTCTGCAGAAGATGTGTATCTAAACCTCTGTTTGTAACCTTATCGTTGAGAAGTTTTTTTGCATGCTGGCTGGTGAGTGTGCTGGGAAACTTTTTGCTGTTGTACTGTTTAAAGCCCTTCCATGTGCACCTTGCTGTAAAGCTGTTGACAAATTGATGAGTGCGTTTGCCATTTGTTTTGCTTGAGGTTGATCATTGGCGCCCTCCCTCTTGGTCATGGCAATTTCCACATATGAGTGATCCTGTTTCTTCTGAATGTCTTTCAGGTTTTTGATCGTTTCCCTCTTTGCAACATAATTTCAACATTTGTTTGATCTCCTAGTGGCTGTTGCCCACCCCTCAGGTGGACTGCCTGTGGATATCCTAAATGTCTAAGAAATACTAAATTCCTGTGTCCCCCTATGGAGTATGAAGAACATAAGATTTTTGGACTTGCTGTAAAATATCTGAACTCCCTTTTTACACCTATGCCAGGCTAAAGTGGCAAAAAAATACATCTTGAAGTGAAAATGATTGCTTTCCAACCACTTAAGGACCTTAGGTATACGAAGTATGCTCAGAAAAATGTCATAGCCTAGGCAGGGCTTCCTTTACATGTTGCGCCTGCTTTGCTCAGTGTAATCTGCAGGACATTCGAGTTTCACTCTTTGTGAACAATGACTCCTGTGTGAATGAATCCTGCATACAGTGGTTGTAGGATTCATTCATAAATCATTGTCTTAAACTATTTCATATATATCTCACCTTGTATTATAAGTAATGACAATGCTCCTGTTGAATCAGTAGGGTCAATGTAGATGGTTCTTATTGGCATATAAACTGATTGGCTTCATGTGCTATTTCTCCCTTTCCCATGCTGATGTACAGGGGACTGCAAGAAGCTGATACAAAGTCACATTCAGGTTACTTACACTGCTTGCATTTAAAAAATCTTCTGTTGATGTATTAATAAATACAGAGTTGCATTTATTTGTGTCTTTTTTTTATATTTTCCTACCTTTCTGCTTAAAATTATATTTAAAAAAATAATGTATATATAAAGAGAAATTCATGCACACAAAGGACATGTTTTATGGGGAATGGTGTTTTATTTGCAGGCACTGAAAGCTACCGGGCTGCGCACTGCTGATCCAAGGCTGAAGGAATGTATGGATATGCTAAGACTGTCTCTTCAAACTACTTCTGATGGTGTCATGCTCGACAAGGAACTGTTCAAAAAGTAAGGGTGTTCTCTTTAGATCATACTGCAGTTTATGTTCTACATTTGCATAGCTCAGAATATTTTACTGGGTCTTGGTAACCTAAAATGTGTTTGTCTTATTAGTAGCTAGCAATGGTTGGTCACTTTCAGCTGGACTTGTTCTGCCATATTAAAAACATTTAACTACTCATCCAAGTAGCTTCTTCAACTCCTAAGGAGTGTTGGGAACATATACCAGCATTTTTAGCCACATGGATCACTGTGACATGTGCGGGTTCCCCCACATGATGATGAACGGTCGGGGCGTGGCTTTGGGCTGGCTTGTCACTCTGGACAGCGGCAGGCCACTCCCCCAATGCTGCCTAACGGTTTCTAGCACGGACATTGGTTATACACAGGAGATGCTTTTGCTCTTTTATTTTTCATCCTCGCTTCCATCACACATACTCAGGCTATTATGTCTATACTTTTGATCTTGCAATTAATTGGTTTTTCTTGTTCTGTATGCTCAACATCTGCCTCTATAATTACTGTCTGTTTGCATTATGGCGGGAATATGACATCACAATGACGTCCGAGTTCAGCGGGCTCTGGGATTGGTCTGCAGTCACTTGCTGGTGTGTGTATATATTTTGCTGTTTTTCACTTGTAATTATCAATGGTTTGCCTGATGTATGGGATCCTGTGAGACCCCGAAACTTGTCAATTCTTCTACGTGGGTCACTCAGTCACCTAAATCAAATCACCATGAAATTTGCCATGGCCGATGTTAATTGTCCAAGAACGTAACGCTACGTGAATAGTAGAGGTGCACCGAAATGGAAATTTTAAAAACAAAACGAAACCGAAATTAAAAAAAAATATATATATATTTTTTAATTTATTTTTTATAAACTTTTTATTTTTATTCATTTTTTATTAAATATTTTTTACTTTTAGAGGCTTCTGGGAAATATAAGGGGCTAAACAGACCCCTGATATTTCCCTTTTAAAAAAGAGATTGAGAACACA